ACTATATTAATAAGCTTACTAAATAAGGCCTCTTTATATTCTATAAGATACTTTAGAATTTTATAAAGAAAATTACTAGTAAGAAGTCTAGAAAATACTAGCCTGGGTACTTTATAAAATATTACTAAGATAACCTTATCTTAATCTATATAATAGCTATTAATACTATATAAAAATAAGCTAATTTTATATATAAATATACTTTATATTTTAAGTTATTAAGCTAGAAAATATAGTAATATAAGTGTCAGGGTGCAGAGTCAGATTCAGATATTCATTGACTAGGAGCTAACCAGACATAATAGCAGAATAGTAGATATCTAGTAATAGATAGGATATAGCTTAAAGAGTTATAATAAGATTAAGGATAATATAGCTTAAATACAGGAATAAGAATAGATAGTCAAGGCAAAATCTAACTAGATAGGTACTATAGCTTCGCGCTATGATAGTACCCCCCTCCTTAGGGTCAAGCTCTATTAAGACTAGGGAGGAAGCAGTCAGGGCTTCTTAAGATAATAGAGGTAATAATTATTTACTAGTTAATAAGTATTCTCTAGATACTTAATAAGTTCTTTAATTAACTTATTATATTTAATCTATTTAATAATATATTATAATTTAGATTTACTATAGCTTTAATAAATTTATTAAGAATTAAGAATTTTCTTAACTTCTTATTTTTCTAATTCTTTAATTTTAATAAATAGTAGTAGATTAGGATATTAACTAGGTAGATAGTAAGATAGAGTAGAAATATATTAAATATAAAATAAATTCTTATATTTTTAGATAATTTAAATTTATAAATATATAAGTTAATAATCTTTTTAATATAATATAATTTAAAATTTTTCTAATTTAATTTTTTTTATAAGTAGAGTATTTAAATATTATAAATATTTAGCTAGATGTCACAGTGCGAAGCCGTAGTACCTATCTAGTTAGATTCTGCCTTGACTGTCCGCCCTTATTCCTGTATTTAAGCCATGTTGTCCTTGATCTTGTTGTAGCTCTTCAAGCTACATCCTGTCTATTACCTGATACCTATTATTCTGCTGTTCTATCTAGTTAGCTCCTAGTTAATGAATATCTAAATCTAACTCTGCCCCCTAATATTATATAGCTCCTCTCTACTAGGAATTAATTACTATTATTATACCTACCTTACTACCTATACTATCTAAAGGCATGGAAACCCTCCTATATAATACCCCCAATAAATTAAGATAGTATATTATTAAGATATACTAGTTCTTTACTACTACTATAGAAGAACTCTATAAATTATTTATCCTATACTTTACTATTACTAACCTTCTTAACTATATTTAATAGAAAGATAATATAATTAAGTACTAGAAGATATAAGCTAAAAAAACTTAATAGGAACTATTTAAAGTACTTACTTAAAATAGCATGTCTTTTTAATTATTATTTCCTTTTAAAAGAGATACTAATATTACTACCCCCCCTATTACTACTACTATTCTTACTATACCTATTCTTACTACCTAAATTTTTGAATAACTTCCTAACCTTAATAAATTTAATAGCTAATAAAATAACCTAAGATACTTTACTTCTTAAATTTACTAGAAAATAATTATAAACCTTAACTATTTTCTAACCCTAAATAGTAGAATAGCTTATATTACTAGTTACCTTGAAGGAATCCTATATACCTAAATCTTGCTATATATTTAAGATAGAATTTATAAATTAAGTAATTATATTAAGATTTTAGAAATCTTAGAGAAAGCTTTTAGAGACCTAAATCTAGAAATTAATACTTATACTAACTTATTCTACCTCTAATAAACTTATTATAAGTTTAGTATCTTTTTTACTAAATTCTAATATCTTGTATTAGAAGGAAATATAAATAAAAATATCTTATTTATAATTCTAGAATAAGCTATTAGCTAAGAACTTTAAGAGATATTAATATACTTTAAGGCCTTATTATAATACTATAACTTTGCTAATTACCTATAAAATTTAGAAAATTACTACTATTATTATATAAGTACTGCCCTGCCCCTATCTATAAAGAATTTCTAGCCTTCCTAACCTATCTTAAAGTTAATTCCTGCTACCTAAATTCCTATAATCCTTATTAATCCTGTTATTATTACTACTCCTGCTAAAGACCTAATAGACCTATCTACTGCTTATTACCTTAATTATTAAACCTAATACTTGTATTACCGCTGTAGTAGTACTAATCATCTAGTAGGCAGCTGCCCGCACCCTAACTAAAGACTAACTAGCCATACCTCTATATTTACTGCTAAACTAGACTTGTACCCCCTATTAACTAGAACCCTGCCTGCTAAATATTCTATATCCCCTGAATTAGAAAATAGAATATCTCTAACCTAAGCTATAATTAGGGACACCTCTAGTACTCCCTCTATCTATTAAAGGCTGTAATAGCTAGAATAATAGTAGAGAAAGAAAATTATTAATCTAAACTAATAATCCTACCTATTAACCTAGAAATCCCTAATAAAACTTTACTAATCTTTACTATAATTAATTCTAGAGCCAAGAGTAAATATTTTATAGATTATAATTAGGCTATAAATAACTAGCTAGAGATACTACTATTAAGGAACCCTATCTTATTAAGGGGATTTAATAATACTCTAGTAAAGTTTAGTAATATTACTTATTTTATTTATTTAACCTAAAAAATCTATAACTATATTAAAAAGAATACTACTTTTCTTATAATCTAATTTATATATTTTCCTATTATTCTTAGCTTGCCTTAGTTAAAGATCTATAACCCTTAGATTAGATTTACTAATTATACTATTCTATTTAAAAGCTCCTATTATAGGAAGTATTATAATATATCTCTAAAGCTTATAAAGATTTTAATATTATATAATATATTATTAAAAGCTTCTTCCTAATGTCTTGACCCCTGCTCTAAATCTCTAAAGAATCAAGATATTACTAGAGTCTTAATTACTACCTGTACTATGTATGCCTGCTATAGATACCAGATATTTACTACTACTATTACTAATATTAAAGCTACTCTAAACCCTATTACTATTATTAAATCTAAGCTATGAGAGCAACTACCCCCTAAGTTTACTAAATTTTATAATATATTCTTACTAAAGGAGGCTAAGTACCTGCTACCCTACTAATTTAATAATTATAAGATTAAACTACTACCTAGAAAAATCTTATTTTTTAAGAGTCTATATAGCATATCCTAAGATAAACTAAAGATTTTAAAGGAATAAATTAAAGAGAACCTAAGAAAAGATTTTATTTATTCTAATTTCTTTCCTATTATATCCCCTATCTTATTTATAAAGAAATCTAGAGGAGGCCTATAATTTTATATAAATTACTAAGCCCTAAATATAATTATTATAAAAAATTATTATCTACTATTATTAATAAAAGAGATACTAAATAATTTAAAAGAAATAAGATATTTCTTAAAAATTAATATTATCTTTACTTTTAATAATCTATAGATTAAGAAAGGATAAAAATACCTTACTATCTTCTAAATTTAATTAGGCCTATTTAAATTCTTAGTAATATTATTTAGGCTTACTAGAGCTCTAGTATTATTCTAGAGATTTATTAATAAAGTCTTATATAATTATTTAGATATCTTCTATACTATATATTTAAATAATATTCTAATTTATAGCTAAACCTATATTAAATATATTTATTATATCTAATAAGTATTAGAATACCTATAAGTAGTAGGACTTTATATTAAATTTAGTAAATATAAATTTTTTATGCGTGAGATAAAGTTTCTAAGACTAATTATAAGTAAAGATGGCTTCTAAATAGACCCTAATAAAGTAAAAATAATTATTAAGTAGAAAATACTAATTTATCTAACTAATATTCAAGCCTTTATTAATTTTAGGAACTTTTATTACTAATTTATCTATAATTTTTTAAAAATTATTAGATTATTAGTTAACTTAATTAAGAAAGATATTAACTTTAACTAGATACTTATTTATTAAGAAATATTTAAATAACTAAAAGTTACTTTTATAAATACCCTAATATTAAAACCTTTTAACTAGTTAAAAAATATAATTCTAGAAACTAATATCTTTAATTATATATTTACTAGAGTACTATTATAATATAATAATAAAAATATATTATACCCTATTATATTTTTCTCTAAGAAATATTTTATAATAGAATATAATTATAAGATTTATAATAAAGAATTATTAGCTATTATTTACTACTTTAAAGAATAATATCCTAAATTAAAAGGGACTCTATTACCTATAAAGATTATTATAGATTACTAGAACTTAGAGTACTTTATATTAATTAAATTACTAAATTATTAATAAGCCTGCTAGTCTAAATTTCTATTAAGATTTAACTTCTAAATATATTATTACTCTAGAAAGTTAAGTATTAAGCCTAATATATTAATTAAGAGGTTAGAGGACCTATTTAAGAAGGGGAATAAATAATTCCTTTACTAGAGCTAGACTATTCTAAAATCTAAAAATCTGCTACTTAAGATTACTACTAATCTAAGACTAAATATTAATAGCTAATATTAAATATATTTTATTAAATAACCTATTACTAATAAACTAATCTTCCTGCTACTAATATTATAATTATTATTTAATAGAGCTTATCTATAAGATAAGAAGGTCTAGTCTATTCTAAATACCCTAAAGAATAATCTATTAAGATATCTTAATATTATACTAGCTAACTATAGATATACTAGTCTATACCTAAGATATTAAGATTAATTTTACATGCCTAACTATAATAAGATAAAAGCTAAAATACTAAGACTTTATTATAAAAATCTTGCTACTAGATATCCTAGAAGAACTAAGATATATAAACTAATATTATATAAATACTTCTAGTTTAGGATCTATAAATATATTAATTAATAGATCTAGAATTATTACCTTTATTACTAAATTATCCCTTCTTAAGAAGTAAAGTAAAAAGTATTAAGGCCTCTACTAATTTCTAAATATACCTGGCAAGATATAAGCATGGACTTTATCATATACTTACTACTAAGTAATAGCTATAATACTATCCTAGTTATAGTTAATTATCTAATAAAGATAAAGTACTTCCTTTCCTATATCAGGATAATTAATACTAAAGAAGTAGCTAACCTATACCTTAAATATATCTAGAAATTCTATAGTATCCCTAAAATAATTATATTAGATTATAAAGTCTAGTTTATTACTACTTTCTAGAAATACCTAATATCCTATCTAAAGATTTATAACCTACTATCTATTACTTATTATCCTAAGACTAATAACTAAACTAAATATACTAATATTATTTTAGGATAATACTTGCAAGTATATATATTATACCTGCAAGATAATTAGTTTAAATAGTTACTAATAATTAAGTTTGCTATTAACTCTATCTACTCTAAGTTTATAGGAGTATTACTATTTATAGCTAATTATAGATTCTATCTAATATTAAGATTTAAACTAAGCTACCCTACTATCTGCCCTATTAAGAAAGATACTAAAAAGTTTGCTAATATTATATATAAGATTTATAAGTTTATCTATACTAAGATCTTATCTACTTAAGCTTGTTATAAAGTATAAACTAATTACTAAAGATAACCTATATATTACTATACTATAGGACAAGAAGTCTAGTTAAATACCTATAATATTTAAATACTCTATCTATAGAAAAAATTAGACTAGAAGAATTTTAGGCTATATTATATTAAGAGGATTATTAGCCTGCATACTTATAAACTTAAACTACCTAAAAATATAAGAATCTATCTTATATTTAATATATCTCTACTCTATCCTGCTACTAATAACCCTCTATCTAATTAATATCCTAATCTACTACTACCTATTAAAGTAAAAGAATTAAAAAAATAGGAAGTTAAGGAAGTTCTTAATTCCTAATAAATTTATTAAGATTATAGCAAACTTAAGCTATAATATACTATTAAGTAGATTAGATATAATAAGCTAACTAAAGAGCCTGCTAAGTATCTAGAGAATACCTACTAACTAGTAAATAATTACTATCTTTATTATCTTAAGAAACCCCAGCTAATTCCTCCCTAGTCTTAACAGAGCTTAACCCTAAGGAGGGGGGTACTATCATAGTGCGAAGCTATAGTACCTATCTAGTTAGATTCTACCTTAACTATCCACCCTTATTCCTATATTTAAGCTATATTATCCTTGATCCTGTTATAGCTCTTCAAGCTATATCCTATCTATTACCTGACACCTACTATTCTGCTGTTCTGTCTGGTTAGCTCCTAGTCAATGAATATCTGAATCCGACTCTGCCCCCTGACACTAGATTTCTTATCCTATAATATAATAATATATAGATTATTTTTAATAATTAACTTATACTTTATAATAAACTTAAATAAATAAAATTTTAATATAAATAAATTTATAAATCTTATATATAATATTAGTAAACTTTTTAATATTTTTTTTAGTAAAATAAATAATAAAGTAGCTTAATTTAAATTTTAATATTAAATAGAATCTATAATTAGCTATAAATAATAATACTTTTATAGATTTAAAGTAAATAAAGTTAGTAATAAATTTAATTATTAATAATTATTTAAATTAATTATCTTATAAATATAATATATATATTTATAAGTATTATTTTAAGATAGTATTAATATATTTAATTTAATTATTAATCTTAAAATAATAAATAATAAATAATAAGTTATAAATCTTTAAATAAGATATTAAGTATTTTTAAAAAATAATAATAAATTAGATTTTATAATCTAATATAATTATTTTAGGGATATTATAAAATTTCTAAATATATTTAAGATATAGATTAATTATTTTTTTAATATTAATTATTCTAGTATAGGAGAGAAAGTACTTTATTTTTATTAAATAATTAATTATAACTAGAATAATATTATAATTATTATTTAATAATAAATATATAATAAAGTCTATACTTATATTTTATTAGATATATTTAAAAATTAATAAAGATCTTAATATTCCTTACTTTATTTTTTAAGAAGGGATAATTTAATAATAAAGATAATAATTCTAGATTTATTAATTAATATATTTATAAATCTTAGACTAAAAATATTTATATAATATTAATTTATATATTTTAGTTTTTTTAAAATATTTAATAGCAAGATTTTTATAATAAAATCTTAATATTTTAATTTTTATCTTATTATAATTAAATATATAAAGTTAGTTTTAATATCTTAAATATAAATTAATATATTTATAATTAGTTAGTTTAATATTAGAGTATTTTAGTAAACTATTTTTTAAAATATTTAGAATAGATTAAAGTTTCTTATCTTATAAATAAGCTTTATTAAATAGTAATTATAGTATTAATAATAAGAAGATTAATTTATTAGTAGTAGGTTATTTAATAAAATATATTTAATATTAATTATTAATATTTAATCTTAGATTAGTAATAGTCTTAAATAATAAATTTTTAGATTTTAGAATAATCTAGCTTTAATAAAGAAATTATTTATTCTCTTTCTTAGATAAATTCTTTAATCTCTTAATTAATATATTAGGCTTAATACTTAACTTCCTAGAATAATAATATATTTAGAAATTAAATCTTAATAAAAATTTAGACTAGTAGGCTTATTAATAATTTAATAATTTAATTAATATAAAATATTCTAGATTCTAATAATTTATAATAATTTTTATAAGTAATAAAATTTCTTTTAATTTAAAATATTATTTTTTAAAATAATAAATAATAATTAATAATTCTTTATTATAAATCTTATAATTATATTCTATTATAGAATATTTTTTAAAGAAAAATATAATAAAATATAATATATTTTTATTATTATATTATAATAATACTTTAGTAAATATATAATTAGAAATATTAATTTTTAGAATTATATTTTTTAACTAATTAAAAGATTTTAGTATTAGGATATTTATAAAAGTAATTTTTAATTATTTAAATATTTCTTAATAAATAAATATCTAATTAAAATTAATATCTTTCTTAATTAAGTTAACTAATAGTCTAATAATTTTTAAAAAATTATAAATAAATTAGTAATAAAAGTTTCTAAAATTAATAAAGATTTAAATATTAATTAGATAAGTTAGTATTTCTTACTTAGTAATTATTTTTACTTTATTAAGATTTATTTAGAAGCTATCTTTACTTATAATTAATTTTAGAAACTTTATTTTATATATAAAAAATTTATATTTACTAAATTTAGTATAAAGTTTTATTACTTATAAGTATTTTAATACTTATTAGATATAATAAATATATTTAATATAAATTTAATTATAAATTAGAATATTATCTAGATATATAATATAAAAGATATCTAAATAATTATATAAAATTTTATTAATAAATCTCTAGAATAATACTAGAGCTCTAGTAAATTTAAATAATATTATTAAGAATTTAAATAAGTTTAATTAAATTTAAAAAATAGTAAGATATTCTTATCTTTTCTTAATTTATAGATTATTAAAAGTAAAGATAATATTAATTTTTAAGAAATATTTTATTTTTTTTAGGTTATTTAATATCTCTTTTATTAATAATAATAAGTAATAATCTTTTATAATAATTATATTTAGAGCTTAATAATTTATATAAAATTATAAGCCTTCTTTAGATTTCTTTATAAATAAAATAAGAAATATAATAGAAAAGAAATTAGAATAAATAAAATCTTTTTTTAAATTTTTTTTAATTTATTTCTTTAAAATTTTTAGTTTATCTTAAGATATACTATATAAGCTTCTAAAAAGTAAGATTTTTCTAGATAGTAATTTAATCTTATAATTATTAGATTAATAGAATAGTAGGTACTTAGTCTTTTTTAATAAGAATATATTATAGAATTTAATAAACTTAAGGAGTAATTATTTTTATAATTTAGATTTAATAATAATAATAAAGTTTAAAGTAACTTTAATATTTATAATAATAGTAGTAAATATTTAGTATTTATAATAAATATATATAATATAGATAGTAATTAAGACTTTAATAATATTTTAATTTTTTAAAAATTTAGGATAGAAATTAATATATTAAAGAGAAACTTTTAATAATATATTATATAATATTAAAATTTTTATAAATTTTAGAAATATATTATAGTATTTCTTATAATAAAGATTTTTAAATAAAATAATATAATTAATAAATTTAATCTAAAAATTATAAATCTTTAATTAAAATAATTTAAGAATAATAAAAAAATATATAAATTAGATTATAAGAAAAGTAATATTTTTTTTAATATAATTATAAATTCTTTAAATTAAATAAATAAAATAAATAATATAACTAGATTTTATTAAAGTATTATTAAATCTTTTTAATAAAATAAGATTTTTTAATAATAATATTTCTAGTTAATTATTTATAATTTAATTATAATCTATAAAATATTTATTCTTAATTCTAGAATTAATTATAGTAAAAATTAGTAAAATCTTATTAAAAGTTTTTAGATTAATAAGTAAAATTATTAATTTAGATTAGTAACTTTTTTTTTTTATTATTATTCTAGCTATTATAACTTTTAATAGATAAAGAGAGTATTAAGGGTATTCTTAATTATAATTTAGGTTAAGAATACTCTATTTTCTAATTTAGAGGATAGGGAATATTTAGTAGGTAGGATTCTAGTTAATAAGAAGTATAAGTCTAATTTAGTAGTAAATATAAAGATATGGCTAGTTAATCTTTAATTAGAATATAAATAGCTACCTACTAGGTATTTAGTACTGCTGTAGTAGTAATATAAGTATTAGGTTTAATAATTAAGGTAGTAAGTAATAGATAGATCTATTAGATCTTTAGTAGGAATAATAGTAATAGCAGGATTAATAGGGCTTATAAGAATTTAGATAGTAGGAGTTAGCTTTAAGATAGATTAAGGAGGCTAGAAATTTTTTATAAATAAAGATAAAATAATATTTATATAATAATAATAATAATTTTTTAGATTCTATAAATAATTAGTAAAGATATAATAATCTTATAATAAGATTTTAAAATATATTAATAATTCTTAAAATTCTTAGTTAATAACTTATTCTAAAATTATAAATAAGATATCTTTATTTATATTTTCTTTTAATATAAG